CCTGGTTCAGAGTGTATTCTTTGATTTCCCCAGAATTGTGGGGTTTTCAGTTTTGCTTCTGTTGATTTCTGACCTCATCTCATTAAGGGGAAGATACTTTGTATACTATCTACCCTTTGAAATCTGTTGAGACTTAATTTGTGGCCTAACACAGCACCTATCCTGGAAAATGTCCCGTGTGCACCTGAGAAGTATCCTGTTGCTGCTGGACAGGATGCTCTCCCTTTGTCTGACAGAGCTGGTCAGTTCACTGTGTTGCTTAAGCCCTTTGTTTCCTTATTTATCTTCTGTCTCATTGTTATATCCATTATTGACAGTGAGGTATTGGAGTTTCCAGCTCTTATTGCACAACTATTTCTCCCTTCAATTCTGTCAACTTTTGCTTTATATATTCTGAGGGCCTGTTATTAGGTGTGTAAATGTTTATAATTGTTATATCTTCTCACTTCATTTCCATTTATTAAGTCTCTTGACTTCACGGATGTAGAATCTGCTCATCTCTGCGTAATAGCAGTTCTCAAATTTATCTACATATGGAAATCATCTGAGGAGCTTAGGAAAACTATGGATTCCTGTATCCTACCTCCAGAGATTGTGATTTAATTAGTCTGGTGTGTTGTCTGTGAGAGGAAACTTTTCTTTAAAAGATCTCCAGGGGCACCTGGATGGCTCAGTCGGTTAAGTGTCCAACTTCAGCTCAGGTCATGATCTCATGGTCCATGAGTCTGAGCCCTGCATCAGGTTCTGTGCTGACAGAAGACCTGGAGCCTGCTTTGGATTCTGGTTCTCCCTCTCTCTCTGCCCCTCCCCGGCTCATGCTCAGTCTCTCTCTCTCTCTCAAAAACTAAATAAACGTTTAAAAAAAAATTTTTTTTTAAATTTTTAATGTTTTATTTATTTCTAGGAGAGAGAGAGAGACAGTGTGAGCCGGGGAGGGTCAGAGAGAGAAGGAGTCACAGACTGAAACAGGCTCCAGGCCCTGAGCTGGCAGTCAGCACAGAGCCCGACGCGGGGCTCGAACCCACGAACCGCGAGATCATGACCTAAGCGAAAGTCAGACGCTTAACCAACTAAGCCACCCAGGCGCCCCTTAAAAAATTTTTTTAAAGATCTCCATTTGAGGATGCCTGGGTGGCTCAGTCGGTTGAGCATCCACTCTTGATTTCAGCTCAAGTCACAATCTCGCAGTTCGTGGGTTTCAGTCATGAGTTGGGCTCCACGCTGGCTGGTGGTGCAGAGCCAGCTTGGGATTCTCTCTTTCTGCCCCTCCCCTACTCACCCTCTCTCAAAAATAAATAAATAAACTTAAAAAAATAATAACCAAAGATCTCCAGTTGACTCTTTAAAAAATATTTATTTATTTTTGAGAGAGAGACACAGCATGACTGAGGGAGGGGCAGAGAGAGAGGGAGACACAGAATCCAAAGCAGGCTCCAGGCCCTGAGCTATCAGTTCAGAGCCTGACACGGGACTAGAACTCACAAACAGTGAGATCATGACTTGAGCCAAAGTCAGACACTTAACTGACTGAGCCGCCCAGGTGCCCCAATCTCCAGGTGATTCTAATGTGCAACCAAGTTTGAGAACTACTGCCTTATGAATACTACTGTTAATTTTCTTAGCTGACCTGCTTTGTTTCTCTGATTTCCTTTGTTCTACCGGTTTTAGTCTCTATTTTTCTGGTTCTCTTCAAATGTCTGGAGGTCTCTGACTGTACATGTATATTTAAAATGAGAGTTGCAAACAGGTGTACACACACATGAATGAGAGCAGAGAGATATTTACTTCAAGACTCTCTGTCAGTAGATATAGGTCTTTTCTCTTTGGCTGATTATTTTGCCAAGAGAGGACTCCTCCAATATTCTGCTTTGGAGGTATAGCATGGAAGAGGGCCGAGGGTCCCATTGCTCATTCCTCTACATTATCCTCTTCTTTTAATTTTTTTTTAAATGTTTTATCTATTTCTAGGAGAGAGAGACAGCGTGAGCAGGGGAGGGTCAGAGAGAGAGGGAGTCACAGACTGAAACAGGCTCCAGGCTCTGAGCTGGCAGTCAGCACAGAGCCCGACGCGGGGCTCGAACCCACGAACCGCGAGATCGTGACCTAAGCTAAAGTCGGATGCTTAACCGACTAAGCCACCCAGGCGCCCCTATCCTCTTCTTTTAAATATGGCCCTTCACTGCTGTCCTAAAACTGCTTGCTCTACTCATGTCCAGAGCCTCCATCTTCTGTTGGGATGAAGAGGTGGGCAGCACAGATGCGGACATTCCTGAGGATCCCATCCTTCTACAAACATTAAACCAGTTCTGTTTTCAGCCACCCCTGCACACATGCCATCAGAAATAGCTGGCCTTTTCATCCCTCATCCTTTTGAGGGCTCTGCAGTGTCAAGTGGCTTCTTATCAGTTTCTCAGTCTCCATCGGCAACCTTCAGGCTCCCCTCACACACCCCTACATCAGTTACCACTTATCCATCTTCCAAAATTGTTGCTGTCTAATCATCCATCATTTCCCTTCCTATTATCTATCCTTGCTGGTTTATATCCTTTTAAAAATTATCATTCTTATACTGTCATTGTATGAGGTTAAAGGAGAGACTGACAATGTAAATACTGTCATCAATTTTGTTTGTTTCGGAGGGTTGAGAGCCTAGGGTCAGCAGACTAGGTGAGGCACACTTCGAGCAGGGGCAATAGCCTGTGTGAAAGTTTAGTTAGAAGAGGGACTTCCGGGGACACCTGGGTGGGTCTGTCAGTTGGGCATCCAACTTCAGCTCAGGTCATGATCTCATGGTTTGTGAGTTCGAGCCCCACATCGGGCTCTGCACTGACAGCTCAGAGCCTGGAGCCTGCTTCAGATTCTGTGTCTCCCTCTCTCTCTGCCCTCCCCCGCTTGTACTCCGTCTCTCTGTCTCTCAAAAATGAATAAACATTAAAAAAAATTTTTTTTGGAGAAACCTAACCTCATATATCCCCTAGGAGTGATGGTTCAGTATTTGCTAACTGGGTGTCTGTGGTGGCTTTATAGTCCATAACTACTGTGGATAACAAGATTCAACTGTATTTATTAGTGCTAAGTCTCAGCTCTAGCCAACGAAGGCAATCTGAATGTTCCCTGAAAATGTAGTGAAGGATCTGAGTTCCTGTCATACTTTGTGTTTTTTTCCCTAGGAGTTATATGAGGGCATTGGTGGTGTCGAGTGAGAGCAGAGCCCCTGGGGGTCCAGTGTGATGTCAAAGCGAGGCCCGAGCATGAGTGTTCCTTCTCCTCAAACTCAAGTATGAACATCACGCTTGATTTAAGAGTTGGTCAGAAACATTTTCCCTCCTATGTGTTTATCGTATATATATTAGGCTGACGATGTAGCATTTTTTAAAAGATTATTTATTCATTTTGAGAGAGAGAGAGAGCACATGCGAGTGGGGGAGGGGCAGCGAACGTGGAGAGAGAGAATCCCAGGTAGGCTCCGCACTGAGCCCGATTCGGGGCTTGGTCCCACAAATCGTGAGATCATGACCTGAGTTGGACGCTCAACCGACTGAGCCACCCGGGCGCCCCTGACGGGACAGCGTTTTACTGGAGTTCCCCGCCCCCAGTCAGTCCCTGCCCCCACTCCCCCCATGTCCATGCTTCCCTCCTCTATCCCTTCAGCTGCTCAGGCCGGGACGCCTGGGTGTGACCCCTACTCCTTTGCCTCCACCCCCACGTCCAGTCTGTCAGCAAGTTCTGTTGGTTGTGCCTCCGCCGGTTGTCCGTCTGTTGCCTCTCACCCCACCCCCTCCCTTCTATTCGGTCTTACGCTGCTCGCCTTCCCACAGTCCCTTGCCAGCTGTTGCTCTCTGCCAGCGGGAGGCACCAGCAAGACAGAAGGCTCTAGAAAGGAAGCAGCGGTCGTTGCTCAGAGTTACCGTAGTAGCGGGGGGAGGGTGTGCACACCCCGGTGCCTTGCTGTGGCACCCCCCCCACCCCGAGCCCCTCAAGACCACTGCAGGACCCCTTCTGCTTCCGGCCCCTGTAGGGGACAGCTCCCCTTGAACCTCTTCTTCCTGCGGCACACCTTCCCTTCTCCCTTTTGCTCTGCGGGCCTTCCAGCACTTTGTGACCCATCTCCCGTATTCAGCACCTCTGTCAGAAGTAACTAGTGTGCTTTCTGACTTCCTGACTACAGCTTGGCTGGCCCAGCCCCCAAATCCAGTTCTTGAATCCGCCCATCTCTACTACCACGACTGCCACCCCTGGTCCAAGGCACGACCACCTCCCACCTGCACTGTGCGACAGCTAGGCTCTCTGAGGCCACAACCAGACAGGTCTGGAGCTAGACAGGCAGGTAAGGCAGGCAGCACTCACTGGGGAGAGAGCCCTAGAAAAAATACGTTCTGGAAGAAAATGATCGCCCTCTACCGCCAGCCCTGGAAGACTGGGATCCGATTTGATTTCACAAGCTGATTTGCTGAAACTGCTATTTACTTAATGCCATTACTAGGCCTGGTTCCTTATTTCTGCCTGGTGCTCAGTCTTTTTCTTTTTTTCTTAATGTTTATTTTGGGAGAGAGAGAGAGAGAATGCAAATGGGGGAGGGGCAGAGAGAGAGGGAGACACAGAATCTGAAGTGGGCTCCAGACTCTGAACTATCAGCACAGAGCCTGACATGGGGCTCAAACTCACAAACCAGGAGATCATGACCTGAGCTGAAGTCAGATGCTTAACCGACTAAGCCACATAGGCGCCTCTGTCTTTTTCTCTTTAAATGTTTATTTACTTATTTTAGGGCGGGGGGGGGGAGGAGGGGCCACTCGCAAGCCAGGGAGGGCAAGAGAGAGGAAGAGAGAGAATCTCAAGCAAGCTCCACACTGTCAGTGCAGAGCCTGACGTGGAGCTCAATTTCACAAACCATGATATCGTGATCAGACCTCAAATCAAGAGTTGGACACCTAACTTGACTGAGCCGCCCAGGAGCCCCTGTCTTTTCTCTTTCGTATCACAGAACACAGGACAACCTGAAAGATACAGCATTTTATTTGGAAAATCTTTGCCAACCAACTTTAAGAATGAAAGAAAAGAATTCCATCGCTATGTCAAAAAGAACAGCTTTTAAGCTTCCCTCCCAGCCTGAGCACCCTGGAATCCCGGACATTCCAATCCTTCTATTCTACTCAAATCCCCGCCACGGCGTCGATGCAGAATTCCGACGGGAAGAAAACCTGAGAGAGGCATTTAAGGTGGGCGCGCCGTACTTTCTGGCACAGAGGGCAGTAGGGCACACGCGTCCCTGCGTCAGGCAGGGCCGCCACGTGGCTGCCGGCCGTGTCTCTTCAGCCAGCACAGCCTTGGAACAGTGACCCAGGGGGCATCTCAGTTGAAGGCTAATGTCTCTGCATCTCCGGCTTGAGAGGCGGAGTTGGACGGAGGGGTGAATGCTTTCTTGCCTTCAGCGAGAGCTTTAAAGTGCTGTGAGGAGAGAGGAGGGGCACACGGAGTTTGTGGCACGCTGGCTGCTATTTCTGAGCAAGAACTAACCTCTTAAAGCTCCGCTTTTTTCCAGGTCCCACTTTCAGAACAATTCCTGGGTTCTGTATGTAACACAGCGAGAAATTTGCCCTGCCTCCTTCAAAGATGAACCCCTCTCTTCCTTCTGTCCTGCTTCCATCCCTTAGGCCACGTGGTTCTCCCACAAGAAGGGTGTTCCTAGGGGACCCCTGCAGGCCCGGCCACGCCAGAGGCCCACCGCCGGTCGGCCTCCCTTCCTGTGAAAGCCCCGGCCCCGCTGCTTGCTGCTCTCTGAATGACAGGCAAGGGTGACGGTAACTGCGGCAGAGACCTCTTCCCTTGTCAAAGGACAAGTCACAGCCGACTCAGAAGAGCGGAGACTGTAGCGGCCCTGGCTCTCTAACGCTGGCCTCACCTGTGAGTTCTTGAACTCTGAGTAGAGGGAGAAGAGCAGGTGCAGGGACTGAATCCGACTCTTGTAGACAGGGATGTCCAGGATGGCTGAAATCAAGAGCTCCCGTGAGCAGACCCGAACAGAAGCGGGGGTTACGGGGCATTCCTGTTCGGCCCGGCCCCTCCCAGCTGGGACGTGCTACTAGGCCTCTGGGGGGTTAATCACCTGGCAGGGAGCCACCGGAGCCCAAATCCCACCTTTGATGCTGCCCAATGGCAAACTGGCTTAAAGTGAAGGCCGGGACTCAAGAGGCTGTCTTGCCAGAGCAAACGAACCTTCTCAAAAGCCCACAATGTATTCATCCAGAGATGGGAACCAGAAGGGACGGCAGAACTTACCACAGATCATGTCAATGTACTCTGCCAGGCTGCAGTCGATCTCTGCTGTGGGCAGGCTCACCTAGGAGGGGCGTGGGAATGGCCAGAGTTGGAAGGCGGAAGCTTCAGCGGGGCCAGCACCCCTTCCTGTCTCTGAAGGAAGGGAGCTCCCCGCATGAGGCATGTCATGAGAAGTCCTCCCAAGGGGTGAACTGTGCTCCCCCGATGTCCACACATGGAAGTCCTAACACGCGGTGCCCCAGAGCAAGCCTGCACTGGAGACGCAGTCTCAGGAAACATAATGAAGCTAAACTGAGGTCATCAGGGAGAGTCCTGACCCAGTAACTAGTCCTTTTAAGAGCAAATCAGGACACAGACACACACAGAGGGGAGATGGCCAGGAGAAGGCGCCGGAAGACGTCAACTCTGCTGACAATGTGACCTCAGACCTCTCGCCTCAGGGGTGTGTGAGAAAATAACTTCCTGCTGTTTAAGCCGCCCAGTCTGTGTCACAGAAGCCCCGGCAAACAATACAATGTGCTTTTGTCCCTCTGATCAGTAAAATGAGATTGGTGACACTCACTAACCACAGTGGAAGATCGAACAGGACCAAGGAAACAACTGAGTGAGTAAAACACACTCCGGTGTGTATTTGTGAAGAAGGGGCCCATCCGAGGCTATGGCCAAGTGTTTACAGCTACTTGGCGTCATAATGCCTAATGGGCCTGGGATACTACTGGAACAGAAAAAACAGGTATGATGTATGGGGTGATAGGCTTTGGCTCTAAGCAAGTCCTACTGTAAGTTTAAAAAGCACTGGCTTTGGGGAGCCTGGGTGGCTTAGTCGGTTATGCGTCCGACTTTCGCTTAGGTCATGATCTCGCGGTTCATGGGTTCGAGCCCCGCGTCGGGCTCTGTGCTGACTGCCAGCTCAGAGCCTGGAGCCTGTTTCAGAGTCCGTGTGTCCCTCTCTCTCTGACCCTCCCCTGCTCACGCTGTCTCTCTCTCTCTCCTAGAAATAAATAAAACATTTAAAAAAATAAATAAATAAAAATAAGCACTGGCTTCATAAACAATTTTTGTTCTTTTTTTTTTTTAACAAAAATCAGAGCGTAGGTAGTTCTGCAATTTCCTGTTTTCACTTAACATGTCATTGATGTTTTTCCGTATCAGAGCAAAATAAAGCCAAATAATATTCTACTGTGTAAGTATTTCACCAAATAAATGTACTACTATCTATTCAATTCCCTAAGCAGACATTTTCCTCAGCTACAGCTTTAAAATGCTTTGAGGAAAGAGACTGGTTTTTTTTCTTAAATTTTTTTTTTTAATAGACTTTTTTTATAGTTTTTTTTTTTTTTTTTTTTTTTTTTTTTCTAGGAGAGAGAGGGAGACAGCATGAGCAGGGGAGGGTCAGAGAGAGAGGGAGTCACAGACTGAAACAGGCTCCAGGCTCTGAGCTGGCAGTCAGCACAGAGCCCGACGCGGGGCTCGAACCCACGAACCGCGAGATCATGACCTAAGTGAAAGTCGGACGCTTAACCGACTAAGCCACCCAGGCGCCCCTTTTCTTAATTTTTTAAAATGTTTTATTTATTTCTGAGAGAAAGAGAGTATGAGCAGGGAAAGGTCAGAGAGAGAGGGAGATACAGAATCTGAAACAGGCTCCAGGCTCCGAGCTGTCAGCACAGAACCCGACACGGGGCTCGAACCCACGAACCGTGAGATCATGACCAGAGCCGAAGTCGGATGCTTAGCCCACTGAACCACCTAGGTGCCCCTGAGATTGTTTTCAAATCTTTGCTTTTACCACAATTCCTCAATAAAATAAACATATATCAAAAAACTCTGTCCTCACAGAGCTTATGTTTGATAGGAAGAAACAAAAACCAAAATAAGTAAGGTATAGAGTGTGTCAGAAGGTAGGAACTACAGAGAAAAAGCAGGGCAAGGGAGTGAGGAAAACTGTGTGGATGGTGTGGCAATTTTATAACTTTCTTTTTTTTTTTAATGTTTTTTATGTATTTCTGGGAGAGAGGGAGACAGCATGAGCAGGGGAGGGTCAGAAAGAGGGAGATACAGAATCTGAAACAGGCTCCAGGCTCTGGGCTAGCCATCAGCACAGAGCCCGACACGGGGCTCGAACCCAAGAACTGTGTGATCATGAGCTGAGCTGAAGTCCGCTTAACTGATTGAGCCACCCAGATGCCCCTGGTGTGGCAATTTTAAATATGATGGCCAAGGATGTAAACTGCATTTGCTCAGTTTCCTTTTCTTCATATCGAAGAGCTCTTTGCTTGGATAGTAATCCAATATATAATTTTTTTTTCAGTCCGTCACTCTTTAACTTTGTTTAGTGGTAAGTACTGGTACTGAGAACTTTTTATTTCCTAAACTAAAATGTCACATTTTCCCCATATGACTTTGAAGTTTGTTTTTTTTTAATTTTTAATGCTTTCTTTATTTTTGAGAGAAAGAGCATAAGCAGGAGAGGGGCAGAGAGAGAGAGGGAGACACAGAATCCTAAGCAGACTCCAGGCTCTGAGCTGTCAGCATAGCAAACCATGGGATCATGACCTGAGCCGAAGCTGGACACTCAACTGACTGAGCCACCCAGGTGCCCCAACTTTTAAATTTCTTAAAAGCAAAATAAATAAGACACAAAAGAGTGTGATTAGAGTTGGACAGCACACAAAATAGGCAAGCATGATCCATACTGTTAGAAATCAGGACAGTGAGAGGTGCCTCGGTGGCTCAGTTGGTAAAGTGTGCAACTCTTAGCTGTGGGGTTTTAAGTTTGAAAAAAATTTTTTTAAATCTTTATTTAGTTTTGAGAGACAGACAGACCACAAGCAGGGGAGAGGCAAAGAGAGAGAAGGAGACAGATCTGAAGCAGGCTCCAGGCTCTGAGCTGTCAGCACAGAGCCTGATGTGGGGTTCAAACCCACAAACAGTGATATTATGACCTGAGCTAAAGTCAGACGCTTAACTGACTGAGCCACCCAAGGTGCCCCTAAGTGGTTGTAAGTTTAAACCTCATGTTAGGTGTAGGGTTTACTTAAAAATAAAATCTTTAGGGGCACCTGGGTGGCTCAGTTGGTTAAGTGTCCGACTCACGGTTGTGAGATCAAGTCCCATGTCAGGTTCTGCACTGGGCATAGAGCCTGCTTGAGATTCTCTCTCCTTCTCCCTCTGGCCTTCCCCCACTTGCACTCTCATGCTCTCTAAAATATATGTATATTTAAAGAAAAAAAAAACTTAAAAAATACAGGAAGAGAGCAAACACTGGGCGCTTGAGTGAATGCCAACTTTCATGGCCCCTGCTCCCTCCACTTACCTTGCCCAAAAGCTCTTCAAATTCTGGGGACCATTCCTGCATCAGCATGTCAATATCAGGCATGGGTCTACAAAGACAGAGGTACATATGAACAGGAAACGAGGACAGATAACCAGCTGGTAACACCAGCAACCTCTGGGTCACAGGATTCTAGGATGAAGGGAGGTGGTGAGTCTGCCACACGAGGATTTCAGGAGAACACAGACTGGGCAGTTAGCCAGGCTCTGGGGTCTGGAGGAATGGCTAAGCAATACCAGATAAATCACAGTCCTTCGGTCTGCAGTCTCAGAGGCTGGCCACATCCACAGGACCTGGCTTGTGTCCTCGGCCTGTGGGCCCTCTTCTCAGAAGCAACGGATCCGCAGGTGGGGAAGGTCACCAGCGGCCCCTGTGGTGAAGAGCGTGTATTTCTTACCTGGTATAGTGCACAGTCGCAGGGGGCTTAGAACGGTGTAATTCCGAGATGCTCTCAATCCATGTGTCGATGGCTTTGGGATTCTTCTCTGCATCTTCTAGGCTCTTTACTTTCATGTGTTGCTAGAAAAAGAAGGGGAAACCCTGGCTGACGGCATTAAGTAGCTCTCTTATTTTAACAGGAAGGCTCATCACACGCTGCTGTTTCTTAAACAGCAGGCAGCTGGTGAATAGGGTACCCTGACGGCAGCCACGTGAAGACTAGAGGAAAACCTGGTAGCATTTTCTGGAGCCATCGGAAGGGGGCGGGTGAAGAGGACAGGACTGACCACAGTGAGATGGCATTTCATACCACTAGGATGGCTACAATTCCTTTTTGTAAGTCTGTTTGTTTGTTTATTGTGAGTGTGCATGCAGGGGAGGGGCAGAGTGAGGGAGAGAGAGAGAATCCCAAGCAGGCTCCACACTGTCAGTGTGGGGCTGGATGCAGGGCTCCGACCCACGAACTGAGATTATGCTCTGAGCCAAAGTCGGGCGCCTAAGAAACCGATCCCCCCAGGCACCCCTAGGATGGCTAGAATTCAAAAGACAGACAGTAACAAGTGAGGGTGAGGATGTGGAGAAACTGAAACTCTCATTCATTGATGGTGGATTAGTAAAATGCTTCAGCTACTTTTTTTTTTTTTTAAGTTTATTTATTTTTGAGAGAGAGAGAGGGAGAAAGGGAGACACAGAATCTGAAGCAGACTCCAGGCTCTGAGCTGTCAGCACAGAGCCTGATGTGAGCTTGAACGGCAAGATCATGACCTAAGCTGAACTCAGATGCTTAACTGACTGAGCCACCCAGGTGCCCCAAGGTGTGTTTTTAAATTAGATAGCAGTCATGTTTGCACACCTCTGTGGATACACTAAAAATCACTGACCTGTACAATCTGAAAGGGCGAGTTTCAAGGTAAGTAAATTATATCTCAATAAAACTTTTTGAAAACACGGGCTGGCCTGAACCATAGCCATCCCTTTTGAGAAGACAGTAAGTCAACTGCACAGATACCAGGGGCCTCTGGCCCTCTCCAGCCAGAGCCTGGGCTAGGCTGGTATCTTACTGTGACGTTGTGCTGTTTGGAATTCTCAGTTAACCAGAGAGAGAGCACTGTAGGGTCTGACTGCTTTGTAGAAGGCTCATCCAATACCAACAGGCCAAGGTTGTCAGGTTTTCCATCAGGACGTGGGACCTGGTTAAGAGAAAAGAAGAAAGAAGGAAAAACTGGGGGGGGAGGGATAAAAAAAGGCCAAATCTGTTGTTTCCAAACAGCTGAAGAGGAAGAACGCTTCTGGTACATCATTATTACTAGTATTAAAAAGCATGCTTGCATATCATGCTGTACTAAAATATGATCTACTAAAAAACACATGATCTATAGTATCTTAAATATAAAAGTGATAATTAGGAGGCAAATAAATGACAAATTTTTAACATATAATGATAGAATCAAGTATTACCTAATACAATGAATAGACTTTGGAGAGCAAGATTAAGAACGCCAGTGAAATGACAAATATATATCAAGGTAGCCAGTGCTAGTCAGAAATTAGTGCAGTTGTTAAGAGTAATAGAGGGGTCAGAAGAAACACCTAAGGAGTCATTTTTAGGATGTTTCAACTGTACCTTTAGGAATGCGTCAATATCCCCAACAGCAGGGATAAAATCAGGAATGAAAGGTTTCAGTTTGTGGTCCAGGTCGATCAACTGAGGGGTGTACCTAGGAGATATTGCCACGGTTACGTGGACGAGGTCAGAGAAACGAACTTTACTGTTCAGGTTAGAAAATCTAAGGCGCATGGCCCGTTTCACACTAGAGGTAGGAAATGGGTGGGGAGGTCATGGGGGAAGGGCCTGGTGCTCACCTGCTGATATACTGGAAGAGTTCCTTAATCTCAGCCGACACTGGCAAATGTTCATAATCTGCAGGATCATAGGCCCTGTGGAAAGGAAAAGATAGTTCAAGGTGACAGCGAAGGGCAGATGTGGCTGAGCCCCGGTTCAGCCCTCCTCACCGACCGCTGACCCCGTGTCGCTGAACCTCGTTCCTGCTGCGCCCACAACTGCCTTTCCTGGTCCTGGGAGGTTCACAAGGCAAGTTTAGAATGGATTATAATTAGCTTGGTTATCTCTGCCAGTGAAAAGGAAAAGAGCTGCAGAAAGTGGAAAACAACTTGTAAACACTTTAGAATGCAGCATTAGGGGCGCCTGGGTGGCTTAGTCGGTTAGGCGTCCGACTTTCGCTTAGGTCATGATCTCGCGGTTCGTGGGTTCGAGCCCCGCGTCGGGCTCTGTGCTGACGGCCAGCTCAGAGCCTGGAGCCTGTTTTGGTGTGTGACTCCCTCTCTCTCTGACCCTCCCCTGCTCACGCTGTCTCTCTCTCTCTCTCTCCTAGAAATAAATAAAAAAAAAAAAAACCTTAAAAAAAAAAAAAAAAGAATGCAGCATTAATTTTGTTTCCCTTTTTTGAATGAAAGGGATGGAGAGAAAATATGGTATGAGATTGCAATTTTTTTCATTTCAGGTATAACTGACAATATGAGATTTCAATTTCTGATGTGAAAATAATTTTCCCCAAGAAAAACAGGAATTTTTACAAAGATGCTTTTAACAGTGGAGCGCCCGAGTGGCTCAGTCAATCTTCTGATCCCTGATCTCAGCTCAGGTCTTGATCTCTAGGAGTTCAACCCCCCTCTTGGGTTCCACGCTGGGCCTGGAGCCTCCTTAGTGAAAAAAAAAAAAAGATGTTTTTAACAGTGTTTACTTTTTTAAGAATTAAAAAAAAATTTTTTTAATGTTACTTTTGAGAGAGAAAGAGAGAGAGTATGAGCAGGAGAGGGTCAGAGAGAGAGGGGAGGACAGAGGATCCAAAACAGGCTCCACACTGTCAGTGCAGTCCAATGTGGGGCTCGAACTCACGAACCGTGAGATCATGACCTGAGCCAAACCCGGATACTTAACGGACTGAGCCACCCAGGTGCCCCTTAACAGTGTTATTTATACAGATAAAAAATTAGAAACAAAATATCCAATATTGAGAGATGGTTATGTATGTGAATTTGAATGTTTTATAGTTATTATCATCTTTAATTTTTAAGTAAGCTCTACACCCAATGTGGGGCTTCAACTAACAAGAACTTGACAAAGTTCTGGGGAAGGTAGCTTAGCAAAAAACCTAAATATCTCCTTATTTTTAATCTTCATTTATTTATTTTGAGAGAGAATACGAGAGGGAGGGGCAGAAAGAGAGGGAGGGAGAGAATCTCAAGCAGCCTTCGCGCTGACAGCACGGGCTGATGTGGGGCTCCATCTCACCAATTGTGACATCATGACCTGAGCCGAAATCAAGACTCAGGTGCTCAGCCGATTGGGCCACCCAGGTGCCCCAAATTAGATATATCATTGACTTGAAGTTTCCATTCCCCCCGATTATATACTTTATAAAAGCAGGATGGGATCATGAAGTAAACTGGGAAACATGAAGAGTCAGTCTGGGATTAAACCTTTGTCTCATCTGCTTAGTGTCCACCTGTGGGTGGATAATCCACAGGTAACTTTTTTTTTTTTTAATTTTTATTTATTTCTAGGAGAGAGAGAGAGAGACAGCGTGAGCAGGGGAGGGTCAGAGAGAGAGGGAGATACAGACTCTGAAACAGGCTCCAGGCTCCGAGCTGGCAGTCAGCACAGAGCCCGACGCGGGGCTCAAACCCACAAACCGCGAGATCATGACCTAAGCGGAAGTCGGACGCTTAACCGACTAAGCCACCCAGGCGCCCCCACAGGTAACTTTTTAATTAAACTGCTTTATTTAATAAGTGATACACACAGATGATATGAAAGGAAAGGTACAAAATGTATGGTGAAAAGTTATGGCTCACTCCCACCCTGTGCCCTTGCCCACATCCCCCTCCCCAAAGTAATCACTAGGATCAGTATCTAGTGTCCTCTAGAGATAGCCTGTGCAATTTTTGTTTTACACCACGGTAGCACAGCGTAAACGCTCTTCTATACCTTCTTATGTTTAAATTTTTAAAAATTTTTAACGTTTATTTATTATTGAGAAAGAGAGAGAGAGAGAGACAGAGCATGAGCAGAGGAGCAGTAGAGAGAGGGAAACACAGAATCCAAAGCAGGCTCCCGGCTCTGAGCATCAGCACAGAGCCCAATGCGGGGCTTGAACCCATGAGCGGTGAGATCATAACCTGAGCCAAAGTAGGACGCTCAACTGACTGAGCCACCCAGGCGCCCCTCTTCTATACCTTTTTAAAATTTAACACTGTCTACGGGTACTTGCTCAGTCGGTTAAGTGTCTGGGCTGACAGCTTCAGGTCCTCTGCATCCCTCTCTCCGCCCCTCCCCTGCTCATGGTCTTGCTCTCTCTCTCAAAAATAAATAAACGTTAAAAAAAAAAAAATTTAACACTGTCTCTTGGAGATTGTTCTTTATGGTGCATAGAGTGCTGCCTTATACTTTTCAATGGCCAGATGGAAGCCCACTGATTGGCTACACCATCATTATTTAACCAGTCATGGTATGTGAAATGGATGGGCCTTAGAATCAATCCACTTCGATTAAAACCTATAGGGGTAGGTCATGCCTAATCCATCCCAAGGGCTGGAACAGGTGAGTGTTTTGTTTGTTTGTTTTGTTTTGTTTTGTTTTGAGACAGAAGGGAGTGGGGAGAGAGGCAGAGGGAGGGATAGAGAGAATTCTGAGCAGGCTCTATGCTCAGTGTGGAGTCCCACCAGGGGACTGATCCCACGATGCTGGGATCATGACCTAAGCTGAAATCAAGAGTCAGACACTCCAACCAAGTGAGCCGCCGAGGCGCCCCAGGAGATTTTTTACTTAAACATCAGCCAGGAACATGTGCCTCAGTGTAGCGCTCGCAACATCCAACAAAGACCTGAGCCTAACTAGAAACTGTCCTGTGCACATATGTTTTCCTTGCTAAATAGCATTGCTTGGGTATGTATATAAATGCTATTTCCTCTTTCCCAACATGAAAGCTCTTTGAAGGCAGAGACTGCCTTTTAGATTTACTCAGCAAATCCTTGTGAAACCACGGAGCCCACGAATACTTCCGATGACGCAAGTGACGTCATGGGACCCAGGGAGGCAGTGTGGCCGGAAGAGAAGGAAAGCGCTTTACGCTGGCCTCTGAGACGTCTGAAAATCCTAAGCAGGGGAGATCAAAGGAGATGCTAGAATTTCACGCCTAACTGATGTGTTTGGAAGGAGGGGTATCCCCCCCTGCTTGGGTGTCCTCGGCAAGGCGGGGGGGCTCTCCTCACCCTTCCAGGGGGGCGCCGTGCTCTTCATCATCATCATCTTCATCGGAATCTGTCTCAGAGGAGTCGTCGTCGTCATCATCATCATTTTCACTAAAGCCCTGCTGAGGGGTCAGCTGCGAGGGCTTCTTCTTCTCCTGAGAAAGGACAGGGTGGGCACAGAAAGAGCCACATAGAGAGAAGGTCAGTGTACCTATGCCCCATTCCCTCCTAGTGCTCCCACTCGTACCCTCCCGCCTGGCACCAAATGACCAGAAAGAGAGGGTGGCTCTCCCCAGAAAGGCCCCAAGGGACCGTCATCTGCTCCTGCTCAGCTACACTGGGTCCTCACTTTCTATAACCACATTCGATTTTTCTCCTGGAGGCCTGTTGGGCTCTGTGCTGACAGCTCAGAGCCTGAGTCCTGCCTCCGATTCTGTGTCTCTCTCTCTCTGTCCCTCCCACCAATGTCTGTGCACATGCGCTCTCGTGCTCTCTCTCTCTCTCAAAATAAGTAAAACTTGGGGCGCCTGAGTGGCTTAGTCAGTTAAGCATCCGACTTTGGCTCAGATCATGATCTCACAGTTTGTGGGTTTGATCCCTGTGTCGGGCTCTGTGCTGACAGCTCAGAGCCTGGAGCCTGTCTTTGGGTTCTGTGTCTCCCTCTCTCTCTGACCCTCCCCTGCTCATCTCTCTCTCAAAAATAAAAAAAAAATTTTTTTAACTATAAAAAAAAAAAGTAACACTAAAAAGAAAAAAAGACATCTTTACTATAGACTTACTATCACTCCAGACTAACTAGTAACAACTCTAAGCAAGAATGTCCCCGAGAAGCTGTGGGTCATACCACACCTTGTTATTTTCCTCCTCATACTCGTCACTGCTGTTGTCGGCCATAATCTTGTCAGGAGGCTGGGCAGAACCAAGAAGTCCTTAAAAGAAAAGTTTTCCTTTTAGGTTAAGGTGAGATGATTTTTAAAGACAAATATTTTTGGTTTATGATAGGTTACGCTCTGTTTATGGCTAAAGGCAGACAACTGAATTCTAGCCATGGCTCTGTCACCTCAGTTCAGGACATATATATTCGGCATGACCGTGCAGAAGCCATCAGGTTAAATATTATACTAGTGGATTATCTGCCATTTCATAAATTATATAAAATCTGTCCTTAGTTTACACACTGGTAAAGTGAGGTTAGTAAATGGCAAAGCAACAAGAGTACTGGATTGATAGTCAGAAGGCCGGGAGTGAAGAGCAGCTCTATGAGTTGGGACTCAGCCTGAGTCTCAGTATTTCCATGTCTGAAGGAAGGCGGTGATATTGATCACTCCAAACAGTTGCAAGGATCAAATGACAAAGCTCAAGTGAAAGGAGCTGACCCAGCTCCCGGCAAATATGAATCTGAATCAGTGTCCATAAAAGCAATAAAAATATTCTGAAAAATTAAAAGCATAATCAGATAGAAGATAATAACTGGCATGAAAAGCATGTTCAATAATTTCTAAATCAAATTAATGCCAGGGGCGCCTGGGTGGCTCCCTCGGTTAAGTGTCCAACTTCGGCTCAGATCATGATCTCTGATCTCATGATCTCTGTGCTGACAGCTCAGAGCCTGGAGTCTGCTTTGCATTCTGTGTCTCCCTCTCTGTCTCTGCCCCTCCCCTGTTGCACTCTGTCTGTCTCTCTCTCTCTCTCAAAAATAAACATTAAAAAAATGTAAATCAAATTAATGCCAATTAAACACCCTACTACATGGCCCAAACTGAAAACAAATTGTAATGTCAATAACTGGCAGGATTATAAGCATGGTCTAGTCAAAAACCTTATCTAGGTATATATATCCACAAAAGATTGAATGTGGGGACCCAAACAGATACTTGGACACCCATGTTCATAGCAGCAGAGTTACAACAGCCAAAAGGGGAAAAAAAACCCAAGTGTTCGTCAACAGACAAGTGGATAAACAAAATGTGGTTATACTTACAATAGGATGTCATTCAGCTAGAAAAAGGAAGGAAACTCACCCAGGCTACAGCCTGGAAACCATTATGCTAAGTGCAATTAGCCCCACACAAAAGGACAAATATTGTATGATTCCACTTTTGGGGAGCCCAGAAGAGGTGACATCATAGAGACCAAGTAGGACAGAGCTTACCAGGGGCTGCCAGGAAGAGGGAAATGGCGAGTTATTATTTAACGAGTAGTTTCTGTTCAGGATGATGAAGAGACTCTCGAAATAGACAGTAGAGATAGTTACACAACAGTATGAAGGCACTTAATGCCACTGAATCGTACCCTCAAAAATGATTAAAATGGAAAAAAAAAGAAAAAGAATTATTAAAATGGTAAACGTTTTTTAATATTTTATTTATTTTTGAGAGACAGAAACAGAGCACAAGCAAGGGAGGGTCAGAGAGAGAACGAGACCCAGAATCCGAAGCAGGTTCCAGGCCCTGAGCTGTCAGCACAGAGCCTGATGCGGGGCTCGAACTCAAAAACTGTGAGATCATGACCTGAGTTGAAGTCAAATACTTAACCAACTGAGCCACCCAGGTGCCCCTAAAATGGTAAATTTAATGTTAGGTATATTTACTGCAACCCAGATGTCATCCTCAATTCCGAGCTCAGGAGCCAAACCCAATCCCCAGTATCTGGATGTTTCTCATCTTTCAGTCTCAAATGTCACCACCCCCTCAGGTCTTCCCTGACCCCCCACATCAAAACGAGATCTCACTCCTCGTTATTCTCCGTAAAATCAAACTCTGCCTCCAACGGTGCACTTACCACACTTGTCATTATTCTGTCCGTTTATCTGTTTGTCATCTGTCTCCCGTGATGACAAGCATCAGGATGGCAGAGTCAATGTCTCTTTTAATACTGTAGACCTACAAGGCTGACACCCAGTAGGCATTCAAAACATGTTTGTTGAGTAAATGAGGGTGTCAAGGCCTGTTCAAATATTTCACTGGGATTTTGACTGGGATTGCAAGTTAAGGGCAGGTTACTGAAGCATCTTCAAGACTGTGCAAAAACAGTTCTGAGAAGTTAAAACACACACACAGACAAACCATGAATCCCTGGCAGGCTGTGAGCAGAGCAGTATCATCAAGCCACTGGAGATAGGAAACACTGGTCAGGCTGAAGGAAGATTCTACATCTGGGGGGCTGGGTTTTCTCCTCCCTTAACTAGTTAGAAAACAGAAACAATGGCCAAGTGTTCACCAAACTGGACTCTAAAAGCCAACATGTGCTATTATAATAAAATAGGACCTTCTCGGAGGCAATCATGAATCCATCCTGCTCTTTGTTCTGAGAGTCGTTTCTTTCCTCTTCATTCCTCTTACCTTCAGGTCTGGAGATTGGAGTATGAATACTTGCAACCTCTTCAGAGTCGTTAATCTCTAGACGTTCATCGTAGTTCTGGTTTTCAACAATCTTGGTCTAGGTAAAAGGAGACATCATTACGTGGCTCATATCGCAGGATATGAGCTGACTCCGAACCAGCAGTGGCTCCTCTTCCTTACCCAAGACACCGGTTTTCCATGAAACCCTTGCCCCCATTCAAATTTTCCTTAAGGCTTCTTGGTCCAAGTCAAGCAGTTAAATCATCCTGCCGCAGCCCTTATTTAGGAACTGCTGGCAGGCTGGCTGAGGACCCAGGGAATCCGGGAGGGAAACGCCAGCCAACTTAGGGGAGCAGCTCCCCAAAGCTGTAAGATACACACGCAAGGGCACAACAGTATTCGTCTTAGAAGGCAGCTCTCTCCTTAGGTTCGGTCACTTTCCCCAAAGGCTGCTGGGGTGTCGGGGTTGGGGGGAGGAAGATGGGGGGACTGTAGAGGTTCTAGAAAGAGTTCTGTCTCTGGAGTCCCCTTGTTTACCTGCAGAGAGGGTAAACTCCAGTCTCTCGGTCCCATCCAATAATCCCAAGCGCCTCATCCCCATCTCCACCCCCTGTCTTGCAGATTGGGCCCTACTGAAGTTTCTTGGGGAAGTAAAGGAAGCCGAATGATAGCCGGTGGCGTGAAGGAAGAGAAGTAACGGTTGTCACGGAGATGGGAAGAGATGGGGGGGTCGGAGGGAAGGGGAGTCCTCCTACGTTCCTCTTGGGAGGGGGAAAGGGACTTCCCTTTCTGCCACGGTGAGCGCGAATTACCTGCAGCCCCTCTGAATCCGTCTCCTCTATATGGAAAGAACCCCAGCCTACGGCCGGAGTCTCACTCCAATATTAGGCCAGGCCACTTTTAGGACTTCCACTCGGAGCTCCCCGGCTTGTTGTCAGTCGCTAGGAGAAGGGGAAAAAAAAAAACCCAAAACTCGCGAGACTTGCTTCCGCTCTCGTGAGACCTTCTCCAGTCGCGCTCGGCGTCTCTTCCAGCGACAGAGGATCCGAGGGGCATCCGAATGGGTTTCGATAAAGCCTGTCGGGCTGTCTAGTCGCCCTTTTTTCTATGGTTTCAGTAAACGCGTCTGTGGCGGCATCTAGCGACCACGGCTGGCAAAGCGGGCTGACGAGTATTGGTTCGTACGGTTAGCCCTCCGATCGGGAAACGCGGTGTACGTTTCTCCCGCGGGGACGAGGCGAGTCGGCCTAAGTCGGTCGAATCGGAATTGGGGCCGGCTCTCGAGGTGGTGTTCCCACGGCACCCTGCCTGTGCCTTTCTAGCATTTGTATTACATTATAGCCCGTCCCCCCCACCCCACACACAGTGTCTCCTTGCATGGCACTTGCTTATACCAAGAAATTATTCGTTACTTGGATGAGATTCAAATCGAACCCCGTTTCCTATATATATTGCCGAAGAAGACTGAGCTTCTTTAGGACATTGCAGAAATTAGAAACTTTTTAAAAAATGTATTTATTTATCTGAGAGAGAGACAGAGAGTGAGTGAGGAAGGGGCAGAGAGAGAGGAAGACACAGAGTCCGAAGCAGGCTCCAGGCTCTGAAATGCCAGAGCCCGATATGGGGCTCGAACGCACAGATGGCGAGATCTTGACCTGAGCCAAAGTCAGACGGTTAACCGACTGAGCCACCCAGACGCCCCAGAAATTAGGCACTTTAAAACTGCGTGTTGGGGGCCGCCTGGGTGGCTCAGTCGGTTGGGTGGCGGACTTCGGCTCAGGTCATGATCTCACGGTTCGTGAGTTCGAGCCCTGCGTCAGGCTCTGTGCTGACAGCTCAGAGCCTGGAGACTGCTTCAGAATCTGTGTCTCCCTCTCTCTCTGACACTCCCCTGCTCCTTCTCTCTCTCTCTCTCTCTCTCTCTCTCTCTCTCTCTCTCTCTCGGAAATAAATAAAACATTAAAACACTAAAAATGCGCGTTGGATGGGTGAGAAATGAGCGAATGAAGACCTAAAGGATAAGTATTTCAAAACCATAGACATCGTTAATTGGGGGAGTCAGTGGGGGGGGTCTGGGGGGCCAAGTCGGTTAAGCGGTAACCGTCCGACTTTGGCCGAGGTCATGATCTCTTGGGTTAGTGGGTTCAAGCCCCCGTAGGGCTCTGTGCTGACAGCTCAGAGCCTGGAGCCTGCTTGGGATTCCTTGTCTCCCTCTCTCTCTGCCCTCCCCTGCGTGCTGTCTGTCTCTCTCAAAAATAAATAAAACATTTAAAAAATTAATTTGGGGAGTCAGAGAGAGGGAGAAACAAAAGAATATTGAAAATTGATCCTGAAAACCTGCCGGACAAAAGCAGGAAGGTGGCTTTAAAAAGGAAAATGAGAGACCCCTCTTCTGAGACACTTCTGGTTAAAAAATGGAACTGCAAAGCATTAAAAAAAATGTGTGTCCTCTGTTATTGCTAATAATAATGCATAAGTATTATTGAGTACTCCAGACGTATAGGCACTTAGATTATATAGTTTTAATATTATTAATGCATTATCTAACTTCACAACCTTTTGAAACAAATGTTCCTGCCAATTGAGAGATCAGATAATTGAGGCTTAGGAGAGTTCAAGTTACTTGCCCAGAGCCACCCAGCTAGTAAATGGTCAAAATGGGAGTCAAGGTCAGCCTAACTTCTAAATCCCTGCTTTTTATTTTTAAATATTTATTTCTGAGAGAGAGAGAGAGAGGCAGTGTGAGCAGGGGAGGGTCAGAGAGAGAGGGAGACACAGAATCCGAAGCAGGCTCCAGGCTCTGAGCTGTCAGCACAGAGGCCGACGCGGGGCTCGAACCCACCAACTGTGAGATCATGACCTGAGCTGAAGTCGGATGCTTAACCGACTGAGCCACCCTGGCGCCCCTCTAAATCCCTGCTTTTAACCATTATGACACACTGCCTCTAAGGCAGTCCTCAGAAAGCATGTTTGCAGGGGTATTTTTCTTATGCATTTTTTTTCTAATTAAAAAAATTCTTTTAACGTTTATTTATTTTTGAGACAGAGAGAGAGCACGAGCTGGGAAGGGGCAGAGAGAGAGGGAGACACAGAATCTGAAACAGGCTCCAGGCTCTGAGCTGTCAGCACAGAGCCCGACGCGGGGCTCGAACCCACGGACTGAGAGATCATGACCTGAACCGAAGTCAGACGTTCAACCGACTGAGCCACCCAGGCGCCCCTTTTCTAGTTTTTAAAATGTTTACTTATTTCTGAGAGACAAAGCATGAGCAGCAGAGGGCAGAGAGAGAAAGGGAGACACAGAATCCAATGCGGGGCTTGAATACATGACAGATCATGACCTGAGCCAAAGGCAGATGCTCAACTGACAGAACCACTCAGGTGCCTATAATAGGGAGATTTTTTGGTTAAAATTTTAAGTGTTTTATATATTTTTGAGAAAGAGAGCATGAGCAGGGGAGGGGCAGAGAGAGAGGGAGACAGAAACTGAAGCAGTCTCCAGGCTCTAAGCTGTCACCATAGAGCCCGACGCGGGGCTCAAACTCACTAGCCGTGAGATCATGACCGGAGCCAAAGTCAGTCTCTTAATTGCCTGAGCCACTCAGGTGCCCTTCTTATGCAGTTTAATTCATCTGATCTCATATTTCTAAAGAATCTGCATGTGTTTGTCTTTGCTGCGCTTTGCTTCGGTGGTCCATGTTGAAGATCCCCAGAAGCTGCCACAATAGAACAATAATTCCAGGCAAGATTTTGACTATTTTAAAATTAAGAATGTGCCTTTATAAAAATACGTTTTTATAACAAAAATTTAAAAATACAATTTGACTTACATCCTTCCAGGCGTGCAAAGTTTTAAAATATGTGAGCTTTATAAAGATTCTACCAGAAAGCCATTAGAGAGGAAGCGGCAATGAGCAAGAGTGAGTATTCTGTAATGCAGGGCTCAAGGGTACAGCTTCTGAAGTTGAGTGGCCTTTGTTCGAATCCTGGCTTTGAAATCCTAAGCTGAAATCAAGAGTCAGACGTCTAACCAACTGAGCCACCCAGGCGCCCCCTATTATTATTATTTTTGACACTGGTTAGAAGAGAACTTTTTAGTACTTTTATGTACAGAAAATTCAACAGCGTCCACTTAGCCCAGTTTGGTGGCCAATTCTTTAGCCTTTGCCTTTTCCGACTTGGCAATGCAAGCCACTGACTTAGGACCCAGGATGTTACTTCCCTAGTGGCAGTGGATCTCATCCTATCTGTCTTTGTAATTGGTCTTGATGGCTTCCACCAGTTCAGCTAGAGCTCCTTAGTCTTCCAAGTTAACTGGTGTGAAGGTGACAGTGGTGCAGCCCTTCCTGTAGACCAGACGCCTCAGCCAAGGCTGGCCTTCCCCTTGATAATGCAGTAGGGAAACCCCGTCGTTGAACACAGGGCTGGCAGGAAGAAGACCAGCTCAATGGAAATCACATCATGTGCAATCACCACCAGCTTGTTTTCCACCAAGGTGGTGACATTATTTTATTCAATGTTTTTATTCATTTTTGAGAGAGACAGAGTGCAAGAGGGGAGGACCAGAGAGGGGGGAGGCACAGAACCCAAAGCAGGCTCCAGGCTCTTAGCTATTAATACAGAGCCTGACGTGGGGCTGAAACTCACCAACCCTGAGATCATAGCCTGAGCCGAAGTCCAACGCTTAACCAACTGAGCCATCCAGGCACCCCCAAGGTGGTGACATTATTAACCCCAGCTTGAAGGACAGGCGGTCTCTTAGTGAGGGACGTCCCCTTTGTCTGCAGCTTTCTTCTCAGCCCAGGCCAACAGCCTCTGCTGCTTCTCTTGCTTTGTCTCTGGTCTGTATTTGTGAGGCAGTTTCAACAGCTGCATAGCTGTCAGGCGGTCCAAGGCGTGAGTGAACTGGTTAATCTCAGGAGGCACTTTTAGATGTTAAGATTTAATAGCCCTTTGCCTCTGCACCTGATGTAGCAGGACCATTTGACAAAGCAGGCGAGGTCTCCTTGGGGCTGGATGTCCTGTCTGGTGCCAAAACCCTTGGACCTTTTCTCAAACAGGGGACCACCTTCTTGCCCTCCCGCTTCTTCACAACAGCAGGGGCCAGGGCCACCTTCTTCCCCCTTAGCCTTCTTTCCTTTCAGCATCTTGGATGGCTGGAGGAGACAGAGTCTTGTGAGAATTAAATGAGATAATCTGTGTGAAGAATTTAGAGTAATACCTGGCTCATTGTAAGTGTTCAGTAAGCATTAAGGAATATTCAAGAGATAAAAAGGGACAGTATCCTTGTGAGGAAAGCTGGGTTTGAATCCTGGCTCTATCATTTGCAGGCTGTTTGAGTTTGGGCAAGTGTTTAACTTCTTTGATCCTCAGTGTCCTTATCTGGATTGTTGTAAAGGATTGGAGATAACGTGTAAAGTACCTGACACAAAATAAACACTCAATAAAAGAATGCTGTTTTTCCATGGCAGCATGGATGAGCTAGTGGTATGGGACAAAATGGTACAAGACGCAGCGAAGAACTGCTGAATCAGGTATACTCTGAGTCTGACCCTTGGCATGGGAGAAATGCCAACAGAGTCGGGAGACTGGATTTGAGTTTTATTTCCATTATGTACTGGCTTAGAACTTTGTGTAAATTTCTTAACCTTGTCATTATTTTCTTCATCTATAAAATGGGCATAAGTCCTGCTTCTCACACACTTTTTTTTTCCTGCACACTTAAAAAATTTTTTAATGTTTATTTTATTTTTGAAAGAGACAGAGAGAGAGAGAGAGAGAGAGAGAGAACTAGCAGGTTAGGGGGAGGGAGAGAGGGAGACACAGAATCCGAAGCAGGTTGCAGGCTCTGAGCTGTTAGCACAGAGCCCCACGTGGGGCTTGAACCCACGAACTGTGAGATCATGACCTGAGCCAAAGTTAACACTTAACACTTTTTTTAAAACACTTTTTTTTAAACATTTATTCACTTTTGAGACACAGAGTACGAGTAGGGGAAGGGCAGAAAGAAGGAGAGACATAAAATCTGAAGTAGGTTCCAGGCCCTGAGCTGTCAGCATAGAGCCCCATGCAGGGCTTGAACTCATGGACCATGAGATCATGACCTGAACTGAAGTCAGAGGCTTAACTGACTCAGCCACCCATGCACCCTGAAACTTAGCACTCTTTAAAAAGATATGAAGATGTTCTGTCTCTCTCTCTCTACCTCTCCTCTGCTCATGCTCTCTCTCTTTCTCTCAAAAAAAAACATTAAAAAATAAAAATAAAATCTTAAGAAAAGATACAACTTACAAACCATAAAGATTCACCCTTTTACAGTGTACAATCTGTGGTTTTTAGTGTAGTCACAAGATTGTGCAACCACCATTTCTAATTCCAAAACATTTTCATCACTTCAAAGAACAAATCTCCCTCCCCATTTCTTCCCTCTCCCAATCTCTTGCAGCCCTACTCTCTACCTCTATGGACTTGCCTACGCTGGACATTTCATATAAATGGAATGAACAGGTTCAGAGCAAGCCTTCCAATATAAGGTATGGGTCTTTTGTGACTGGCTTCCTTTACTTAACAGGTTCATCCATGTTGTATCATGTATCAGTATCTTTTTATGACTAATATTCCATCAGACACATATGCCACATTTTGTCATCCATCTATTGATGGACATTTGCGTTGTTTCCACTTTTTGGCTATTATGAATAATACTTCTGGGAACATCAGTGTACAGATTTTTGTATGAGCATATGTTTTTAATTCTCTTGGGTATATACCAAGGAGTGAAATTGATGGATCATATGGTAACTCTTGTTTAATTTTTGACAAACTGCCAAACTCTTTTTCCAAAGCATCTGCACTATTTTACATTTCCACCAGCATTGTGAGAGGGTTTTAATTTCTTCACATTCTCACCAACATGTATTGCTATAGCCATCTTAGTGCGTGTGAAATGGTATCTCATTGTGATTTTTATTTGCATTTCCCTAAGAACTAAGAATGTTGAGCATCTTTTTATGTGCTTATTGGTCATTTGTATATCTTTTTACTGTTTTTAAAGTTTATTTATTTTTGAGAGAGAGAGAGAGAGAGGGAGAGAGAGAATACAAGCAGGGGAGGGATGGAGAAAGAGAATCCTAAGCAGGATTCTAAGCACTAACAGTGCAGAGCCAGATGTGGGGCTCAGTTCCACCATCCTGAGATCATGACCTGAGCCAAAATCAAGAGTCATAAGCTCCACTGACAGAGCTACCCAGGTGCCCCTTTTTGTGTATCTTCTTTGGAGACTTGTCAAGTTTGCCTATTTTTATTTTATTTATTTACTCCTCCCTTCCTCCCTCCCTCCCTCCCTTCCTTCCTCTTTCTTATCTCTGCACCCAGTGTGGGGCTCTTACATTTTTTATTATTGAGTTCTAAGAGTTCTTTATATATTCTGAATACTAGTCCCTTATGCGCACCAGTTAGTTTGTATAGTAAATGATACGGTGGCAGCGAGAGCTTTATCAACTCTAAGAGGTGTTGCTAATTATACGAAGGCTCTGACAATCAGCGAAGGGTCAGAAACACACGAGCTTTCAGAGCTGTAGCGTGAGCCTCGCACACCTCCTTGGCAGAACCTGCCCAGCAGCCGGGTACTGTACATTCCCCCACCCCATGGCGCCCCGCCTTCCGCCCTTTGACCCGCGCCACTTCCGGTTGGAGACGTGGCTCGAGGCCGCCATCTTGGCAAGAGGCGAAGCGGCAGCGGCTCCTGACAGGGGGGCGGCAGGTCCGGAGCGGCCGGTGCTCCCCTTCCCCTGAGCCCAGCCCCAGTGGAGCCGGAAGCGCGGGTGAGCCCCACCACCGCCCTCACCATGGTAAGACCCGAGCCGGGCCGGATTCCCGGGGTCCGCCTCCCTTGTGCGCGCTCCCCGCCTGACGGCCTGGCGCTGGGGCCACAGGAGTCCCGCCCAGAGGGCCTGGGGCCGGACGCTTCCCTCGGGGCTCTGTGCCCGACCTCCCAGGGGATCCGGGGGACCCGCCTGCAGTCCCTCTCCCGTTGCGCCCACACCCCTTCTCCCTGCCCAGCTGGGCACCCTCCTATTCTGGGCCCGGGGCGTTTGCTGTTCAAGCACCGCGTAGTGGAGTGGCTTGGACCCCCGTCGCCGCAGGCGTCGGCACTGGTGTCCCGCGGGTTCCCCGGGCGCCGGGCTCAGCAGGCCGGGCTCCTCTTGGAAAGGCGGGGGGGGGGGGGGCTCCCTTTCTTCGGGAATCAGCCCTCTCATCCCCGGCTTCTGGTAGGCCCCTGATACTCGAAATCCAAACCCATTGGTGTTCAGGACTCTTTTGTTTGTTCGGAAGGGGGAAATAGAGGAAAGTTCGAAAGGAAGAAAGAACAGGAAGGAGTAACTTCTGACATGAACGTGTAGGACCCAAGTGTCCCTGGAACCTTTCACTGCTTCTCCAGAATTTAGGCGTGTCCGTTTGTCAGTGTTCCCGAGTACGTGCGGTGTATGGGGAGCTGGTGAGATGGTGCGAGTGATCGAGAACACAGGCTTTCTGTTTTCAAGGAACTTGAAGTAAAATGTGTTGGTGGCACACCGTAATCCAGAGTCTCCCGGGAGGAATAAAAAGGGGTTGTACCCTCCTTCAGATGCGCGATCTTCGTGTTCTCACCTGCTGTAGAGACGGGGAAGGTTAATGTGTGAAGACGGGACATAACATGCTGACAACACTAAATCTTGCTTTATCGCTACAATTTGTGGATATTTATGAAGTAGGAGAAATTCTTTGGTTCCACATGAGCTAGTGATACAGCGTACTTGATGCTCTTAAATCTTTTGAAGGATTTTAAAAATTGTGTTGTTAATTAATCATTGATTTAAAGCATCTTCCTACACACTTGAGAGATGACCCTATAATTTGTTGCCAAACCTATTCAGTTCTGCTGACAGCGTTTTTAGATGAGAACTTGGATGGTGGTGGGGGTGGGGGGTGTTCATGCTTGGTCTTTAAACCACTGAAAGGTTTTTGTTTTCAGCTTCAGGCAAATAAATCGCACCCAGAAGGTTTGCCTCACAAAACTGTACTGTTGGACATAAACTTTTAAAAAACTCTCTTTTTTCATTTCCACTAGGAGGCTCACATATTGGGATAGGAATGTTTAAATTCCTTTTCTGTTTACCTCCTGGGTGTATTTAGTGCATTTTAGGGCATATTATAATTTCAGTAGCGAAATTAGGGCCTTGTAGTATATAGACCAAATATAGATAGTCTTTGCAAAAATCTTGTTTGTTGAAAAGTTCTTGGAACTTAATATATGACAGAACACAAGCAGGTGAGGAGCAAAGAGGAGGAGAGACCGAATTCCAAGCAGGCACCACACCATCAGCGAAGAGCCTGATGTGGGGCTTGAACCGTGAGATCATGACCGGAGCCAATACCAAGAGTTGAATGCTCAATCGACTGAGCCATCCAGGCCCCCTGGAACTTAATATTTTTAATTCATTGATAAACAGAGATGATAAAACCTTAGGTATTGAGTGATAAACATAAAAGTAAATTTTGCATGTTATCTGGATGTGTGCTATACATACATTACAGTTGTGTCATGTTTAAATATACGTATTTTTAAAAATTATATGGGACTTGGCATGAACCAGATACCCATAGATTGGTATATTCTGGAGAAAAACTTATCAGTATATTCTGCCTTGCTGAGTCTTAAAAGTTATTAAGTATTATTTCTGTATAATGTTTTTGGGTTTTATTCTTTTGCAAAAGGATTCCTAGATTGTAGAAATGTCCAAATAGGGTCACATTTTCTATTCTATTCTATTCTATTTCTATTCTATTCTTCTATCTAAAAGTTGTATCAAACCTTCTGAAAGATGATTTTTCCTCAGCATTTTATTATAAAATTTTCAAGCATCTAGAAAAGTTGAAATAACTTCACAATTATTTCACCCATATAACTCGATTTTTTAAAATTTAATTTTTAAGTAATTTCTACACCAGATGTAGGGCTTGAACTTACAACCCCAAGATCAAGGATAGCATGCTCCACTGGCTGAGCCAGCCAGGTGCCCCATCGGCAGCTAGATTCTATAATTAACATTTCTCCATATTTATTTTATCACTCATAACCATCCATCCATCCCTCTCTCCACCTTTTTTTTTTAAATGTATTTCAGAATAAGTTGCAGATATGAGTACATAAATGTTGGTTGTGGTGAGGGGTGGTGGTGGTTTGTAGGTATGTCATTTTCTTGTTTTTGTTTTTCAAAGTTTAAAGTTGGCACACAGTGTTAACAGTTTTGGATATAATAAACGTTGATTTTTGAAAAACATTTTTGAATTTCCTTTGGCTTTAGTTTCTAAAGTTAATGCAAAATGCCCCATATTAGGAAGTCCTAGTATAAGAAGTAAATGAACAAATACAAAAAAGCCATCATCCAAGTGGCTTATGATGACTTTGCCATAAAATGAAGTACAAAAACGGCCATCTTTCTATTTGATCTTCTTTCTAGTTTTCTGCAAATTAATGAGAACATGTTCTTATTTTCTTAACATTTGTTAGGTAGTATAGTCAGTTCTTTGTCCTAAATTTAAAATTGAATAAACTTGATATGAAGTCTTATGGTAGCAACAGTCTGTAAAATCTTTGGTTACCTACAAATGCTGTTTTATTCGCTCAGGATAGCGATTAGTAAACTAGAATGGACACATTGAACATAAGTGATGACATTCAGTTCTAAAAGTCATTAGTTATTAGAAAGCTAGATTTAGGTTCTTGTGGATGATCTGCGCATAATGAGGGAGAAACTGAAATCGTACATAGTAATAATAGTCTCCAACTAGGGGATTATTATTGTTTTTATTTTGCTTTGTATATAACATAGCAGCTGCACAACTTTGGTTTTCTTTATGTATCTTTTTTTTTTCAAAAAATTTTTATAGTTTATTTATTTTTGAGACAGAGAGAGACAGAGCATGAGTGGGGCAGAGAGAGAGGGAGACACAGAATCCAAAACAGGCTCCAGGCTCTGAGCTCTCAGCACAGAGCCTGACGTGGGGCTTGAACCCACGAACCATGAGATCTGACCTGAGCCGAAGTCTGAGAGTTAACCACCTGAGCCACTCAGGCACCCCTCTTTATGTATCTTTTTGATTGTTGTATGAGAGGACAGCAAAGAACAAAAATGATTGTCTTCAGTTTCCATTGATTTGCCATCTATTTATTTTCCAAATAGAAAGTTTACTGCAGAAAGTGAGAACAATGTCCTGTTATTTTCATTCTCTACAAGAAACTTGTGATGAGCTTAAAACTCTCACTGGGTAACTTTTCAAGTTTTAGGTTTTGTATGTGATGTAGATTTTATTGTAATCATCCTTCTGATTCTCTCTGTAATGCAAACAGGAAAGACAAAGCGATCCTCTCTGACAGTTGTACAAACTAGCCGTAATATGATCATGACTCGTGTATATTATATATGACATCATTGCAGTTATTTACAAAGGAGAAAGTGACTGCCTAATTTTGGGAGTGAGGAATATGGAAACATTTAGAGGTTGGAGTAAATCCTAAGCTTTTTTTCTTTAGGGAATTGTGCATGTTTATGGTGAATTACTACCTGTTACTCTCTGCCCTCTCTCCCTAATGGGGGTGAAGGATGGTGGGGCAGTTTATCTCACACACATACTGTACACACACATGATTTGTTTTGACGAGGCAGTTTGCCTTCTAGCAGCTTAATATTGATGTAAAATACTGTTCCAAACTAATTGCTATGGGAGCAGTGGGTGTAAAGTGGAGATATTGTACACTTTTAATTGCTATAAAGTTTTCAAGTGCTTAACTTTAGGATTTTAAAGATGCAAAGGCACTTTAGAATTCATATAAACCTCTATTTTGAGGAAGCAATTAAATGATTTATGCAATATATAATTAGTGACAGGCAGAACAGAAACTAATTCTTTAGGTTTCTTTACTCAAAGAACTTTCTGACCCCATGTAGTTAAATCTGAGTAGAAGAGAGTTGTTATTTAATCCAAACACAAATGTTAGTATGCTCAAACCATCTTGAGTATTATTAAGAGAAAAGTTGTTTGACAAAGCTCAACTTAATGGGTTTTTTTGGTTTTGTTTTAAACAATCCTAAAGGGGTCACCTAACTTTTGGGCCCTCGGTTTTTACATGTATAAAACAATGAAGGGCTCTTGAAAGGTCCTTTTAGGTCTAAATGTTCTTTTCCAAAAATGTAATAAATGAATAAAGCAACTTCATGGAGAATCATACTTATTCATTCTTCTCCCAAAGAGAATCAGATCAAATTAGTCGGAAAGATTAACTTGCCTTGTTGTGTATACTGCATTTTAATAAATGTTAAACATTGGGGCACCTGGGGGACTCAGTCAGTTAAGCACCTTGACTCTTGGTTTCTGCACAGGTCATGATTTCATGGTTTGTGAGATTGAGCCCTGCATTGGGCTCTGCACTTACAGCATGGAGCCTGCTTGGGATTCTCTTTCTCCCTCTCTCCCTCTCCCTCCACCACTCTCTCTGTCTTGCTTTCAAAACAAATATATAAATTTTTTTTTTTAATGGGAAGCTTTATTATTTCAGGGTACTTAAGAGTTAATTTAGAGTAGGTTAAATTTATCTTGTTTAAAGGTGACATGAATAACAATGAGTAGAAACCTGTGTCAGCTTCATGGTCCCTCTTACTGTGGTGTTTTGGATATATATTTTTTTAATTTTTAATGTTTTATTTATTTCTGAGAGAGAGAGAAAGAGCGTGAGCAGGGGAGGGTCAGAGAGAGAAGCAGATACAGAATCTGAAGACAGGCTCCAGGCTCTGAGCTGGCTGTCAGCACA